GAGAGAGAGAGAGAACTATCAATCAAAAGCTATCAACGCTAATAGCATATGGGAGGGAGGAGGGAAAGGGGGGAGGGTTGAATATAATCATTTAGGATAATCGGTTAATTGGTTTGCTTGTTAATACACGATTGCTCATTTATCGGTAAGGTATATACCGTTTAGCCGTTAATATGTAATTATTTACATACGCGTGTAGAGAAGTAAACTGCAATCCATCGCTTAATTTGGAGCGGCGATATACACAACGGTAGTTTAGCAAAATGTAATGATAGTGTCACGCGTATGGGAACAAATTTGAATATTAATCACGACATCGATCGAAACGACGATCACGGGCGATGACGTTGCCAGCACATTCGCAGCATATGTAATTAGGCGTACGCGCTACAATTACCATGTCGTTTTAATATAATTGCTGACTTTGGCGCAGTCGGGAAGGAAGGCGCAGCGAGTAGATAAATATCTAATTGCTATCACGATGTAATTACGGGTATCGCGACGTGCTTTCGATTTCATTGCCCGCGCGCTATTCATGTCGCTTTGCTTAATAGCCGGAACAATCCAGTCGCAGTAAATGTCAATCGCGACCATTTCGGTGAATCGTCATTTCAATGAATTGTCAGGATACAGGCAATGTTTCGCGGCAATGATCGATATGTCACGTATCTATCACAAAATGTCGCCGTTTTCGTTCGACGACACTTCGATCAACTTTAATTACAAGCGACAGATAAAATATTATATACGTACGTACAGAAAAATATAAAATTTTTTGTTTAGTTTTAAACGTTTCTATAACTAAATTCTATTCTATTCTATATGTCGTAAAATTAATTTGCGAAAAAAGAGTACGTACAAGATTTATTTCAATTTAATAGACATTTATATCATCAACATTATTTGACCGAGTTACGTGACATCTATTTTTCAATATTTTTGTTGTAAAAAAAAGATCGACTTCAGAATTACTAAAAGTTGTTTATTAAGGTTGTCGAAGATTAACGATTGATTCAACAGAGATAGATTTGTCCCTCCTTTTTATATATAAATTTAATTCGAAACGGAGCGGATGTTTCTAAATATCGGTATTAAAGTGCCATCCCCGTTGAAATATTTCCGACCTCGTTGTGATCCCATGAATGTGAAATGCATATGCATCGCTTATGATGCACATTGCGCATATAGATTGTACACGTGCTCGCTGTCGCGTCTCCGTATATTTCCCTTCATAACGTTAAGTGCGTCCTCAACTATGTAATGAGCCGTAATATTGCGTATTTCTACGACGCTCGTATGTTTTACGTCGTCACAAATTATCATCGAATCCGTTTGAACTACATAATAGTAAGTGGAACCATAATCATATCATTGCAATTCCGATTATTCAAGTATTTTATCCGGAAATTGCAATAAACGGCAATGATTAATTTGCTTAAGTGCCAAAATTACTTATAAATACTACAAGAAAAATGCGAAATAATGCAAGAAAAAATTAAATGTGATAGATAAAAACGCGACTCTAAATTTTCATGTCGTCTTGTATTATAAAGCAAATAGTGAAACGCGTGAAACACTGGTTGCGTTCTATCCCAGTTAATTCACTTAGATCAAACATTTCTGCAGATTAAACATTGCACAGCTTGGAGTTTATATCTCGGGGTCCGGTGAAGTGGTTGAAACTTACATTTGTCAAAGCTGCGACTTAGTCCATTAAACGTGTTCAGATAAAAGTGCCAAGTCCGTGACAAATGATACTAAATACAATGGTATTGCGCACTATTTGTTACCTCACCATGGGAGTTTCTAAAGGAAACACTTTGGTTTCTTTGTAACTTCGTATTCGCTCACATCAGCTTCTTATTACTTTACAATGTATATTCGTATTCATTATCCTGATTTAATCACTTCTCAAATACCATAATGGAAATTAATTAAATCCATGAAAGTTCATCATACATCAATTTTACGTAATACTATATTCATATAAAACGTACAATTTTTTTTTTTTTTATGTAATGAATAATTAATGCAAAATTTAAGTATCTTTTAGAGTTACTTAGCTATCAGCCCTGTATTATTATAAAGCACGTCGTAGAAACGTGCTTCTCTCTTGCGAAAAGTTTCTTCCCGAAGAACGAAGTGTCTAAATACTTCTTTCATGTCCACACGTATGGACCTGGTATATAATATATAGTTTCTATTATGTGGCACTAGCATTATATATAGGTAGATGTATAT